CGGGACCCAGCGTCCTCGCTGTCTCTCGTTCCTCTCTCCAATCGATGTGGGATCTCAGAATCCACCCCCCTTTGGAGCCCAGCATTTTCGCTGGCACTCGTTCCTCTCTCCAATCGATGTAGGATCTCACAATCTACCCCCTTTAGGGCCCAACGTTCTCGCTGGCACTCATTCCTCTCTCTAACCGATGTGGGATCTCACGATCCACCCCCCTTCATGGCCCAGCGTCCTCGTTGGCACACCGCCCGATGTCCACCCTCCTTCATGACCCAACGTCCTCGCTGCCACACCGCCTGGTGTCCACCCCCCTTCGGGGCTCACCATCCTCGCTGGCACACCGCCTGATGTCTGACTTTGATACCATTTGTAACAGCCCAAGCTCACCGTTAATAGATATTGTTCTTTTTGGGTTTTTTCTTTCGGGCTTCCCCTTAAAGTTTTTAAAACGTGTCTGCTAGGGAGGTTTCCACACCCTTATAAAGAATGTTTCGTTCTCCTCTCCAACCGAAGCGGGGTCTCATATTTTTTTCATTATTTGTTTTCTGAACAGTAAAAGAAAGATTTAATGCTTTGTTAAGTTCATGAATTGTTCTAACAGATGAAACAAGTTCATGGATTAAAGCTTGCTTCTGTTTTTATGCTATATTTTCCGCATATCATGTGCATCCTTATACGATCTTACTTAAACTGGATCTGTACCATGGGTTGTGTTACTGCCCTAAAGTTCATATCATATGCATTGAGTTGAGATTGATGACATATTTCCAATGTTGTGTGATCTCAGGTAATTGGAGTGATTGAAAAGCGAGCAGATCAGCTTGATTATGTTCTTGTTGATACTCCTGGTCAGATTGAGATATTCACATGGTCTGCATCTGGAGCCATCATTACTGAGGCTTTTGCTTCAACGTTTCCCACTGTAATTGCTTACGTTGTTGACACGCCTCGTTCATCTAGTCCCGTGACCTTCATGAGCAACATGCTTTATGCCTGTTCTATCCTCTACAAGACAAGGTTACCAGTTGTGTTGGTTTTCAATAAAACCGATGTGGCAAAACATGAGTTTGCTTTGGAGGTAATTTGTTGGAGTAATTATAACCTTTCTTAATGATTATTTGTAAGAATAGAACGGATCACCTAATCGTTGACCCTCGTGTTATAGACCTACCCTTCAAGTTCGGAGTTTAAGTCGTTATAAACATAATAAGTTAAACGTCTCATTGTCTATGTTTATTAAGGTTGGTTTAGGAGAGGCGAAGTCTCTCAAAACTATTGTGGTTAGTCGGGTGAGCCATGTACGTGATACGAGGATTCAGCCTTTGACATTGTGGTTATTAAGGTTGCTTTCAGGGTGAGCAACGTCTCCCATAAGTCTTAGTGGTGTGGAGTTAGCTAGATCCCACGTTGGTTTGAGTGGGCCACGAAGCATTCCTTATAAGGGTGTGGAAACCTCTTCCTAGCAAACACGTTTTAAAACCATGATGATGGTTGGAGAGGGGAACAAAGTATTTCTTATAAGGGTGTGGAAACCTCTCCCTAGCATACGCGTTTTAAAATTGTGAGGTTGACGACGATACGTAACGGGTCAAAGTGTACAATATTTGCTAGTAGTGGGCTTGAGCTATTATGAATGAAATCAGATCTTGGCACCAAATGGTGTACCAACAAGGACGTTGGGCCCCAAGGGGAGGTGGATTGTGAGATCCCATATTGGTTGGAGGGGGGAACGAAGCATTCTTTATAAGGGTGTGGAAACCTCTTCCTAGGAAACGTGTTTTAAAACCGTGAGAATGATGGCGATACATAACGGGCCAAAGCAGACAATATCTGCTAGTGGTGGGGCTTAAAAGCTGTTAGGAATGGTATCAGAGCTAGACACCAAACGGTGTACCAGCGAGGACGTTGGGCCACGGGGAGGTGGATTGTGAGATCCCATATTGGTTGGAGGGGGAACGAAGCATTCTTTATAAGGGTGTGGAAACCTCTTCCTAGCAAACGTGTTTTAAAACCGTGAAAATGACGACGATACGTAACGGGCCAAAGCAGATATCTGCTAGCGGTGGGGCTTAAAAGCTGTTAGGAATGGTATCAAAGCTAGACACCAAACGGTGTACCAGCGAGGATGTTGGGCCCCAAGGGGAAGTGGATTGTGAGATCCCACGTTGGTTGGATAGGGGAACGAAGCGTTCCTTACAAAGGTGTGGAAACCTTTTTCTAGCAGACGCGTTTTAAAACCATGAGGCTGACAACAATACATAACGGGCCAAAACAAACAATATCTACTAGGGATGGGCTTGAGCTATTACAGCTTTGTGCTCGTATTTCTCTTTTTAGATTATCATTATATTACAAAGCTCTAGAAATTTTAGACTGTTAAAGAAGGAATTATGCTTGCAGTGGATGGAAGACTTTGAAGCATTTCAAGCTGCAGTCAGTTCGGATAGTTCTTACACCTCCACATTAAGTCAAAGTCTTTCCCTTGTGCTGGATGAGTTCTACAAGAACCTGAAATCTGTTGGAGTCTCTGCAGTTTCCGGTTCCGGAGTGGATTCTTTCTTTAAAGCAATAGAGTCTAGCGCTGAGGAGTACATGGAAAACTACAAGTAATGATAACTCGACATCGGCCGTGCCGGTTCGAAACTTGCTTCAGTTCGATATTTACGCTACTTTTGGCTTTTTTATTTTCAGGGCAGAACTCGACAAGAGAATTGCCGAGAAGCAGCGATTAGAGGAAGAGCGTAAACGGGAAAACATGGAGAAGTTGAGGAAAGATATGGAGAGCTCCCGGGGACAAACCGTGGTTTTGAGCACCGGTTTGAAGGACGAGAAGACTAAAACTAAGATGGTCGAGAACGAAGATGAAGAGATTGTCGATGAAGATGACGATGATTACGATAGATTTACCGAAGAGGAGGATGTCATTGACGAGGATGACGATGAAGAGGTTGCTCGTTTCTCCTTTTAGTAGTGAAACGGACATGATTGCTAATGGGAGAAGTTATAATGAAAATTGTGTATAGGTTTTACCGAGAAACGAGTTACCGGGTCAACCCGAACACGAGATTCTGGCATTGTTTTTGACATTTGGACAAGGTTTCTTTCTTAGATGCTCTTGTGATACTTGATTTTGATGATGATCCATGCCATCTTGTAGGTTTATTGGTTTGGAAGCTTGCTTTGTATGGTAGTAATGTTGTACATTTGGATGGATTATGATGCTATATATAAAATCAAATGATGAGAATTGATTCTCCCTCTTGCTCTTGTGGTGACTTCTTGTCAATAGAAGGGGTACTGACTCGCTTGGGGTTGCCCGTTACTTACTCGCTCGAGGTTGCCTGTTACTTACTCGCTCGGGGTTGCTCGTCACTTACCCGCTCGGGGTTGCTCGTCACTTACTCGCTCTCTTTTTCAGCAAATTTGATATATTTTATCTTATTTTCAAGATTTGGTGAGTAGTATATTTTCTGTTTTATGAGTTAGTTGGTAGCTTTTATCCTATTTAAATGTTGTGAACATTAATGAATATCGGACTTTCAGTCCTAACTCTGTTTCTCATTCTTAACACCTACAAATCAATCACTGATCCAATTTAAGTACCTCCACATGGATTACTCTAGTGCAGCATGAAGCCGCTAACATTGAGTTGGCTCCTATGTTGTTAGTTGTGTCCTACTTGGTCCCCTGACACGGTGAAGGTTCTGTAGCGCGTCATAAGTATCGGGCTAAGGGGCGGTTGAGCTTTCAAGTGAAACGCCCTACTTTGTCCCCTGACACAGTGGAGGTTCCGTAGCACGTCATGAGCATCGAGCTAAGGGGCGGTTGAGCTACTCAAGTGAAACGCCCTACTTGGTCCCCTAACACGGTAGAGGTTCCATAGCGCATCATGAGCATCAGGCTAAGGGGCAGTTGTGCTACTCAAGTGAAATGCCCCTACTTGGTCCCCTGACACGGTGGAGGTTCCGTAGCACGTCATGAGCATCGGGCTAAGGGGCGATTGAGCTACTCAAGTGAAACGCCTTCTCTTACTACCTTACTGCAACGTAAGGACAAGGGAGAAAATTGTGAAGGTATATATATATATATATATATATTTCCCCAAAAAATTATCTTAATTATAAAACCTAGTCTTAATTATGTTCCTTTAGTTACCCATTCTAAATCTAGGGTTAGAATCATTATCTCGTTAAATTAGAACTTTAGTTCTAAGGATGCGAAGCACTTATATATTTGATTCCTAAATTTTCACGTTCATTTATTTAGTTTTTGACGTTTATTTATCTGACGTAATCTTACAGTCAAAATAACCGTTCTGACAACAATTCATATCGACGTCCCATTCGTCCAACTTTTACGTTACTTTTCTAAGCAATCAAAATGGAACTCAAAACTTTACGTTAAAGTATAAAATTCAACCACTAACATTTAATATCGTTAAAACATTTGGAGAAATCAAGGAAGATCAATAAACTGATAAATTATAGAAGAAGACAAGAGCGTATCTAGCAATAGTAACCGTTATTATTTTTAAAATTTAAACATTAATCTTACTTTTAAAATTATAAATATTTTTGAAACACAGCGTTAACGTTAAGACTAATATTAATTTTTTAATTAAAAATATTAACAAAACTAAGTTTAAAAAAATATTTTAATTGACATATATACTCTTAATCTCTAAAACGTTTTAAATTTCTCAATTTTGGTATCTTTGTTATTAAATATAAAAAAAACACCTAAAATAGATAATTATTTATTTATTTTTAAGAATTAAAAAATACCCTTCGTTAATATCACTCTAAAAAATACTCGTAAATTTTAAAAAAGTTTTAGAGATAATTTACGAGCTCCGTTAATAGATGGTTTTTATCTATATATTGACGGTAATTTTTTTTTTAATAAAAAAAATTATTAATGTTAATTTTAAAAATATTTAAAGATATTATTGAAATATATAAAAATATTTATATTATTATTTAAAAAATAATTTAGCCATCCGAGCGTCGACCCGAAAACCTCTGGATGGTCTACGACGTTTGAACTCCCAACCACGATGGTCTGAATATCAAGTCTTTGAAGTGTCGAGAGCAGAAGGGGCTTGATTTCAACCGAAGTTGCTTCGAATTCCACTCTCAAACTGAGCAACTGAGATTGAATCAACAAAGGGGATAGTTCGCTCTGCAATCCGTTTCCAGGAGTTTGGAAGCATCATTTTTGCAATCAACTACTGCCGTCAAGCTTGGTTTTATAGGTCACCTTCTTTGAACTTATGAATTTTTTGGTTTTGATTTGATTTTGAGATGACGGAAAAGCACGAAGACGTTGAAGATGTAGGCAGTGTGTCTACCGATTCTTTTATCGATGACTCTGAAGATGATGGGCCATCTACATCTGGGCAGGACGAGCAATTGCATCTCGAGGCAAGCGACATTTAAATTTTCATTTGTGTTTGGGAAGTTTCGAGTTCACTTGTTGCTATGTATCTTGCTAGTCAGTTGATACTTAGGTATTAATATCTGTTTCAATTCTACTGACTTCTATGATCTTAAGTATGGTAAGTTCGTTGTTTGTGTTTGTTTTTGTTTTTGTTCATTGAGCAGGAACCTTTGACAGAGCAAGAGATAGAGGATTTGATGGCTGAGTTCTTGGAAGTTGAGAGTAAGGTGACATATTATTCTCTTAGCTTCAAGGACTTTCTTCTTAATGTTTTGTGATCGTAGTATTGGTATTTAGCTTCTATTCTGATAGACTCCTTACTAACAAACTTACATTACAACCATGGTGAAAGTACTCTAGATTGTGTCACATACCATTGTATTTCTCTCAATGTGTAGTTGAGATTTTCTGCAGAAGTGGAGTTCAAGGAGTTAGACATCAGTGTCCAAAAGTATTGCCGAGGTTTTGAATTTCGGAGATGTTGATAGAAATATCGATGTTTGAGGGCTATTTTTTGAAAAAGAATGGAAACTTTAACAAATTTTAAACTAAGCCATATAACATTATTTTTAACACATATATCCATGAATATGAGATCGTATCATTCAATACAAAAAGAAAGAAATTAGGAAAGAAGATTCCATGAAAAAAATGGGAGGGGGTTATAAAATATAAAAGTAGAGAGATGGAAAGAAGTGAGATTGTGATAGCAAGAGATAGAGACCAATTGAGAGAGTACGTGGATTCCAAAATAGTTTGTTATGATAGAGAGATGTTGGAACTCGTCGAAGGCTTTTTCCAAGTCAAGTTGACAACTACGCCTTTTTGTTTGTTTGTTTGTTTCTATTCATTTATATGTTCCTTTGTCATGAGGGATGCATCAAGGATCTACAATCCCTCTACAAAAGCTATTTGCTGCCTAGTAGTCGTGAAAGGGAGGACTTTTGTAAGACGCTTTGATAGCACCCTTGCTATGATTTTGTATAGTACGGTTGCAAGACTTATGAGCTGAAAGTCGGTGATAGAGCAGACATCCATTTTCTTTGAGATCAAACAGTTGTATGTTTCATTTAGGTTACCATTGATAATTCCATTGTGAAAAAAAGCTCGAAACACTCATAATCTCGGCTCTCAAAATGTTCCAACATATTTTTAAAAGTTCTGAGGTAATACCATCCGATCATGGGGTTTTGTCGGAGTCTAGGAACTGTGTCGCCTTGCCTACCTCTTCTTTGGTGAAAGCGAACTTGAGGGAGGTCGCTTGCTGTTGGTCAATTTGGCTCCAGTCAAGATCGTGGGGAAATTCAGTGACAATATCGACCTATGTATATAAGGATGTGTAAAAGGTCACAAATTATGATACAATTTGATCTCTGTTTAGTAAACTTCTTTTGAACTGGTGGACTTTTTCCTAACCGTAATTTTGTAGTTTATTAGCTTTAGAGTTTTTTGTTCTTGGCTCCTTTTATTCTAGATTTTAAAAAAAGTTGTACTTGCGTATTCCTTTATTCATTCTCAATGAAAGTTGGTTTCTTCGTATAAAAATAAAAATAAAAATGAAACCCATCGGTTTTGGCCTCTTTTGCATGAGCTTTCTTTTTAATATATATTTATCAGTTTTCTAGCAAGAAATATCTACCTTATGTTCATGTTAGGCCGCAGAGGCTCAAGAAGCACTTGAAAAGGAGTCTCTTTCCAAAGTGGAGAACGAAGTTCGAGAAGAATTGGCATTGACTCTTAATGGTGATGATGTTAGTTGTTGCCTTGTCTCGGTCTTTTTGAATTCTGTTGTATTTACCGTCAATAATGTGCTTTCTTGTCTTACAGCTTGAAACTGCGGTTGCAAATGAAATGAATATTTTGGTAGAAGAGTGGGAAGGTGTGCTTGATGAACTTGAGATTGAGAGTGCTCAGTTATTGGTATGGTTTTGTCTTTCCTGTTGAGCGTGTTTAACATCAAACTAATATTTTAATACCTAAATTTGTTAAATTGCAAACATGTTTGATCATAGTATCGGGAGAATTGGGAAGTTTTTCTGTAAATTTATTCTCTCTCTTGCTTTGCTTTCTGATTTTAGCCTTTTCTCCCTCGTGAGTTTTCTATCTCTTCTCTAGCATTAGACTCTTTTTTATCTCATCAATGGAAAGTTTCGTTTCTTGTTAAAAAAGCATAGAAACAAGGGCCAATTTGTCATTCCATTTACTTGAGATTGTTCGTTGTTGGTTTGGCTGCAATTAAAATGGAATTCATTCTTTCGTTCAGTTTATCAGTTGTTTGGTTGGGGATGGCCAAAAAAAAGTTACGGGAGGATCATTGGGTGGGTGATAAGCCATCATGCGTGTTATGTTTGCGTCTCTGTCATTGTTCAAATATGATGCTGCATTTGGTGGCCTTGGTGGTGCTTTCTCTAGTTCTTCCTCTTTTATTTCCTTAGAATTCTGGTGTTCGATGTCTGACTGTGGGGCGAATGATGTGGTGGGTCTCATTTCTCTTCTACATCTCTAGTTTGCGATACCTAGGAAAAGGGATAATAGAATATGGACCCCAATACTTTTAGGAGCTTTCTCGTGCCATTCCTTTTTCACGTCTTGTCCAACCCTTTTCCTTCTCCTGTTGTCTTGGTTTCTTCTGCATTGGACAGTTATAATTCCAAAAAAGGTTGAAGTTTTTGTGTGGTAAGTGTTTCAAGATGGTGTGAATACTTTCAATTGCATCAAGAGGTATTCTTCCTATGTGTTGCACTCAGAATGGTGCATTCTTTGTTGGAGGTATGAGGGGAGCCTTGACCATTTGTTGTGAGAGTATTCAAGGTTTGTGATGTGCACAATAGAGATGAAAAATTGATGGTGATGGAGGTGCTTTTAAATCCTCCTTCTAGGACGAAAGGAAAGTGTTGTGTCAAGCAAGTTTCTGTACAGTATGAGGTATTTGGAAACGATAGAATGTTTAGAGAGGTTAAAAGATTGGGTGAAGAGGTGAGTAAGTTTAATGCCTCCTTGTGAGTGTGCTCTCTAATCTTTTTCGTAATTATGATCTTAGTATTGTTCTCTTCGATTGGAGTCCTTTTATATAGGTAGGGTTATTTTATTTTATTATTATCATTTTTTTTTGTATTCCCTCCTGTTCTCCTACATAGAAAAAAAAAAAAAAAAAAAAAA